CAGGCAGGAAGTGTAGCAGACCTACTACTTCTGCTTTGAGTCAACCATCACTCTCATACCCTTGAGAAATTGTTCAGGATGTGATGACATGTTCCAGCTAGGTCCAAGGTTACATTTTCTCATTCCCAAGGTTTTGATCTGTATCCACCTTTCTTGGGTTTTATGGGTCATTTATCATGAGGAAACATGACCTATAATTAAAAGTTTAGAAGGGCTAAACTTTTCTTACTTAAATCAAAATATAAGTATTCTTAATATAAATTCCAGAACTCTTAAATGGACCCCAGTTCTCTGGTACATGTGACCTGGGCCATTCTTAGAACTGACCAAAGTGAAGATGCTTCAGAGTTACAGGTTTATAGGTTTAAGTGATCTCTTATGTTACTAAGAGGCCTAATGTATAAGATCTTCTCTTAGCCCCAAAGTATAGTGTAGCTTTGCCATTCACTGTCTTCATCAGTTTGGTTAAAGCTAACCTGTTTCTTGTTTTTAGGTTAACTACATATATTTTCCCCTGTTAAGACCAAGAATGAATATAAGAACCAAGTCTCCAAAACAAAAAAGTTTTTATATATTCCTGTGAGCTGCATTTATTATCTAAACTATATTCACCATACATATTTATTGCCATGATGTTTTGCTATTCTTCCTGTGCTCCCTTAATTTTGCTTTTAATTAAGATTTTTGTCCCCTTTTTGATCTTTAGGAAAATTAAAGTGTGGGATCTTGTAGCTGCTTTGGACCCCCGTGCTCCTGCAGGGACTCTTTGTCTACGGACTCTTGTGGTAAGAGTCTTATTGTTTAAGGGAAGTTGCGGGGTAGGAAGGAGAAGAAATTAAACATTGATGTGCTGTGGAATACAGATCTGGATTTGATAGTTAAAACCTCACAAAACCTACTACTAAGTGGAAAGGCAGCCAATACATGACAATAAAATATGTTTATATAGCGCCTTTCATCCAAAAGTGCTTCAGAGACTGTATATGGAGAGAAATGTGGCAGCTGTTTAACAGCTGCACAGCAACTCTCCACATCAGTTTAGTACAGGAAGTGAATAAGAATTCTGTATCCACCAGAAACAGTAGGGGGTTCTTAGGGAGAAGAAACATAATTGCTCAAATTGGAACCTGTCCAGAATCTGAGGACCTGCGCACCTGTGCCTACAAAAAGTGCCATGGGAGTCTGTGTGAACCCCTGGTCAGCCCCTTAATTCTACATCCTATTCAAGGCATGCTGTCTCCAGCAACTTGAATCCCATCTTTTTTATTCTTTGTATATACTCCCTTGCCTGAACATCTTGACATTTGGAAGAAAAAGTGACTCAAAAAGATCTTGTATCACCTTCAAAAGCACTAAATTCTTTATCATGCCAAAGGCCTGGATTAGAAAATGTTCTCAGTATAAAAGCTGCTTCTATTAGAAAAAGATTAGATGGGGCACTAGAGAAGACAGTCTTTTGCACAACTCAGGGAAAAGATGAGAGCAAGAATTTGAAGGTCCAGTATTCTGAATCCTGGCTCAACATTTAGGTATTCCTTGCTCTGAAGAAGAGAGATACATTTCTTTGTCTTCCTTGTTGGATTTAAAGCTCATTATTTCAGTACAATACATGCTTTATTTTCATGTTTCACACATGTTTTTTAAAATGTGTACTTTCATTTACAATTAATCTAGGTCTGGTTTTTAAAGTATAATTTACATACAGCAAAATTTGTCCATTTTTAGTGTACTGCTATGAATTTTACAGATGTGTAACTACCACAATCAAATTATAGAAAATATTTATCATTTCCCCAAAATTGTGTCCCTTAGAATCACCCCTCGCAACTATTCATCTCATTTCTGTCCCTGTAGTTTTATTGTCTTACAAATGTCATATAAATTAAATCATACAGTATGTAGCATTTTGCCTTTGGCTCTTTTTACTTCATTTAAGATTCATCCATGTTATTGCATGTGTTAGTACTAAGTTCTTTTTTATTGTTAGGTAGTATTCCATTGTGTGGATGAACCAATTTGTTCATTCACTCACCAATTTAAGGACATTTGGGATGTTTCCAGCTTTTGGTGATACTGAAAACATTCCCATGCAGGATTTTGTATGTACATATTGTTTCATTTTTCTTGGGTAAATACCTATAACTGAAATTTCTATGATAAGTGTATGTTTAAATTTAAAAGAAGTACTAAGCTATTTTCCAAAGTGGCATTTTGGAAGTTTGCAAATGTATGCCACTTTACATTTCCACTAACAATGTATCAGAGTCCCACTTTTCCACATCCTTGATAGCACTTAGTATTGTCAGTTTTGTGTGTGTGTGTTTTTTAAGATTTTTAAATGATTTTTAGGGGGAGAGAAAGAGAAACATTGATGCAAATGAACATTGGTCAGTTGCCTCCTGCATGCACCCTACCAGGAATCGAGCCTGCAACCTAGGCCTGTGCCCTGACCAGGAATCAAACTAGCAACCTTTCGTTGCATCGGTCTATGCCCAAGCAAATGAGGCACACTGGCCAGGGCTAGTATTGTCAGGGTTTTTTTTTTAATTAATAACCATTTGAATGAGTGTATAATGGTTATAGTTTTAATTTGCATTTTTGTGATAACTAATGGTGTAGAACATCTTTTCATGTTCTTTTGTGAAGTGTCTGTTCAAATCTTGTCCTCATTTATTGAGTTGTCTTAAATTTTTAAAAGAGATTTATCCTATATAATAAAAGGGTAATATGCAAATTGACCCTAACAGTGGAACGACCGGGAACGATCGTTCACTATGACATGTACTGACCACAAGAGGGCAGGTGCTCAATGCAGGAGCAGCCCCCTGGTGGTCAGTGAGCTCCCACATGGGGAGCTCCACTCAGCCACAAGCCAGGCTAAGGGCTGCAAGCTCTGTGGCAGTGGCAGAAGCCTCTCCCGCCTCCTCGGCAGTACTAAAGATGTCCGACTGACGGCTTAGGCCCACTCCCTCCAGGAGCCTAAGCCGTCAGTTGGACATCCCCCAAGGGCTCCTGGGCTGCCAGAAGGATGCCAGCTTAGGCCTGATCCCCTGAGGAGTGGGCCTAAGCCGGCAAGTGGACATACCCCAAGGGGTCCCGGACTGTGAGAGGGCACAGGCCAGGCTGAGGGACCCCCGCCCCCCAAGTGCACAAATTTGTGTGCACTGGGCCTCTAGTTGAAATGTAATTGACGTACAATAAAATATGCAACTTAATAAATTTTAACATATGTACGTACCAATGAAACTATCACTTCAACCAAGATAATGAACGTATTCTCATACCTCCTATGTAATCCTTCCTTCCCATTCTGCCCATTTCCCCCCGCTCCAGTCCCCAAGCAGCCAGTAATCTGCTTTTTGTTAATGTTGATTAGTTTGCATTTTTATGGTTTAATTAATGGAATAAAAAAAGAGTATGTACTCTTTTTGCCTCTTTTCATTAAGCCTAATTATTTCTATATTCTCCTATGTTGTTGATGTAAATCAGTAGTTCATTGCTAAGTAGTATTTCATTGTATGGTTATACCACAATTTATCCACTTGCCAGTTGGTGAAAATTTGGATTGTTTCCAGTTTGGGGCTATTACAAATAAAGTTTCTATAAACATTATGTGCAAATCTTTATATGACCATATGCTTACATTTCTCCCAGATAAATCCTAGGAGCAGAATTTCTAGATCATATGGTAAATGTACGTTCAGTATTTCTAGAAACTGCCAAACTGTTTTCCAAAGTAGTTGTACCATTTAACATTGCAATACAACAGTGCAGTTACTCCACATCCTCACCACTACTTAGTGTACAGTCTTTTTAATGTGAGTCATTCCAAGTGTCCGGTGGTACCTCATTTTGATCTTAATTTGCATATTCCTAATGTTAATGTTGAGCATCATTTCATGTGTTTACTTGAACACATACCTATTTTGGTGAAGTGTCTGTTTGAATCTTTTGCCCATTTTTTTTAATTGAGTGGGTTTCTTATTGAGTTTTGAGTTCATTATGTGGATGGTATGAGGTATGGTTTAAAATTCATATGGATATCCAGTTGTTCCAGTACCATTTATTCAAGACTCTCCTTTTTCCTCTGAATTGCCTTTCATCTTTGTCAAACCTGTTAACCATATATGTGGGTGTCTCTGCTTATGGACCTATTCAGTTTCAATGATCATTTTGTCTATTTGTCTATCTTGATACCAGTATCATATTAACTTGGTTACTGCGGCTTTTTAATAACTCATGAAACCTAGTAGTATAAGTCCTTCAATTTCGTACTTTTCAAAGTCTTTTGGGGTCTTTTGAATTTTCATGTGAATTTTAGAATCTGCCAATTTTACCCCCCACCTCCACCCAATAAACCTGCTGAGGTTTTCATTGGGATCATGTTAAATCCAGGTCAATTTCGATTGGAGAAAAGTAACTCTTAACAATACTGAGCTTCTGATTCATGAATACAGTATATCTCTCTATTTCTTTAGGTCTTTTAAAAAATTCTCAAAAATATTTTATAGCTTTCAAAGGTCTTATACGTCTTTTGTCATATTTATCTCTCATATTTCATATTTTTAATGCTGTTGTAAATAGTATTTTGAAATTTCTGGATTGTTCATTGCAAGTATGTACAAATACGCTTTTACTTCTTTTTCAACCTGTGTACCTTTATTTCTCTTTCTTGTTTTCTTGTACTGACTAAGATCTTCAGTACAATGTCCAAAAGAATTAACAGTGGATGTCCTTTTCTTGGGGAAAAAGCATTTGGTCATTCACCATTGTGTGTGTGTGTATGTGTGTTAGCTTTAGGTTTTTCGTAGATAAAATCGGGATATTAGAAGTTCCTTTCTGTTCCTCAATTGCTGAGAATTTTTATTAGAAATAGATGTTGGATTTTGTTAAATGTTTTTATCTGCATCCATTGAGATGATCTTATGTTTTTACCTTTATTCTGTTAATTGGTTATTACATTGATTTTTGAATGTTAAGCACAACTTTGCATCACTACAAATTTCATGAACATTAAAAGGATAATAATAAAGGAATACTATGAACAACTCTATGCCCCAAACTTGATAGCCTAGATGAAATGGACAAATTCCTTGAAAGATATAATCTTCCACAACTCACTTCAGAAGAAATAGACAATCTGAATAGGCATATATGTATTAAAGAAATTGAAGCAATAATTAATAACCTTCCAGGATGGAAAGCACCAGGCCCAAATGGGTTCACTGGTGAATTCTACCAAATGTTTGAGGAAGACATTATACCAGTTCTGTACAATCTCTCTCAGAAGATATAAGCAGAGTGCATACTTCCTCATTCACTCTGGGAGGCCAGAATCACCATAATACCAAAACAAGACAAAAATATTGTAAGAAAAAGAAAAAAAAATATTATAAGAAAATAAAACACAATTTCATAACTAATATGAGTTTATTAGGTAGACTTTTTGGTAATATTGTGAACCATTTGCTTCAGCTTTCAGTGTGATCTTTACTCTCCTTATGTTTAGTGATTTCACAATGAGGGAAATTTCTGAAACTATTTTAAAGGTATGCCAATATTTTTCAAATCTCAATAAGATGAAGTAACTTATATTAAGATAAATTTTAACAAAATATTAGGAGATTGAATCCAACAGTGTATAAAAAGAATTACACATCATGATCAAGTAAGATTTATTCTAGTTATACAAAGCAGGTGTAATATTCAGAAACCAGTTAATGTAATCCATCACATCAAAGGTTAAAGAAAAAAAAGCACATGACTATATCAATAGATGCATTTGGCAAAATCTAACATCTATTCATGATAAACTCTCAGCAAAGTAGAAATAGAGAGGAACTGTTTCAACTTCATAAAGAAATATGCAAATTACGCCAAAACCGGTTTGGCTCAGTGGATAGAGCGTCGGCTTGCGGACTGAGAGGTCCCAGGTTCGATTCCGGTCAAGGGCATGTACCTGGGTTGCGGGCACATCCCCAGTGGGAGATGTGCAGGAGGCAGCTGATCGATGTTTCTCTCTCATCGATGTTTCTAACTCTCTATCTCTCTCCCTTTCTCTCTGTAAAAAATCAATAAAATATATTTAAAAAAAAAAGAAATATGCAAATTAAAACTCCAATAAAATACCACTATACTACAAATCTATCAAAATAACTAAAATTTAAAAGATTGTATCAATTTGTTGAAGATGTGGATCAACTGGAACTCTGATACATGGCTGGTGGGAGTATAAATTGGCACAACTTTTTAAAAATTGCTTCACCATATCTACTAAAGCTAAACATACAGTTCTACTCCTAGGTGAAATGAGTGCATATATCTATCAAAAGACATGTATATAAATGTTCATAGGAACTTTATTTATAATAGCCAAAACTACAATCAGCCTTGTATATCCACCAAAGGAGACGGGAAGGTATAGTGTGTTCATATAATGGAACATTAACCAGTAATAACTAAATGAAAAAAGAATGAACTTCTGTTGCATGCAGTAACAGAGAGTAATCTTACACTGTTGAACGAAAGAAACCAGGCAAAAAGAATACATGCTGTTATGAGTGTATCAATAGGAAATCGAAGAACAGGAAAAAAGAATTGATGAGAGCATTGGGGTGAAGGTAGTATCGACTTTGTAAGGGGCATGAGAGTGCTTTTTGGGATACTAGAAGTGATCAGGGCGGTGGTTACTACAACGGTATACAAAATATCCTTATAACTGCTTATGAGATTCAATTAAATTATGATTTTTACAATCTGGTTGGCCTCATATAGGTAGCTTGAAAATGGCCAGGATAGGAATTTTTGTTTTTTTTGTGTTTGTTTGTTTTTGTTTGTTTGTTAATCCTCACCCAAGGATATTTTTCCATTGATTTTTAGGGAGCGTGGAAGAGAGAGGGAAAGACAGAGAGAAACATTGGTGTGAAAGAAACACATCGATTGGTTGCCTCCTGCACGAGCCCCCCGACCAGGGCCTGGGCGGGGAGGAGCCTGCAACCACGGTACATTCCCTTGACCAGAATCGAACCTGAGACCCTTTGGTCCACAGGCCGACGCTCTATCCACTGAGCCAAACCAGCTAGAGCCAGGGTAGGAATATTTACACCATGAAAATGTGCAGATGCTTTTACAATTGGGGAGAGTTCACTAGCTGATAAACTCTTACCAGCACACCATGTCTTATTGCTCATCAGTCCTTGGCCTCTAATTGTAGAAGAACCCAGAGGTACAGAGAGAGGCTAGGCCGGGGAAGCACTGTGAGGAGTGGTCTGGTTCAGCCTCAGCCTAGGAGCGATAGCAGTGAGACTAGCATGCTATTGGCATGCCTCAGCTCTAGCGAATATTGCTTTGATTATGTATGAAATCACCTGCCCAGTAGTTGACTTTTCCATCCTGCCTTTAATTCAAATTAATTTTTTTTCTTTGTGTTCTTGAAATAGCTAAATGATAGAGAAAATTAATCAGGATAACATAGCCTTTTCGTAGACTCCTTTTGACATGTTACTGAATTTGTCCTTTTGATTCTGAGTAGTTCAGAAGTTTCTGTTTCTGCTTCTTTAGGAGCATTCTGGAAGAGTTTTCCGACTCCAGTTTGATGAATTCCAGATTGTCAGTAGTTCACACGATGATACAATCCTCATCTGGGACTTTCTAAATGATCCAACTGCCCAAGCTGAACCCCCCCGCTCCCCTTCTCGAACATACACCTATATCTCCAGATAAATAATCATATACTGACCTCAAACTTGCCCAGGTATGAAAAAGAACTGTGTGCATGGCACTGTGGGTAGGAGATGGAATGTTGGCTGTAAGGTGTTGCTAGTTCATGGAGCTTCTCATGTCCTTTATCTTTCTAAGTCCTGTAAAGCAAGGGAAGCTGCCACCATGAGACAGGGCTGGGGCTGCATATTGGATGCTGCCTTCATCAAGGAAGCCAACCTCAGTTCTAGATGATTCTGAAATTAGATCTAGATGACCCTTGTGCAATAGAACTAATAATTCCTGCCCCAGTTATCTAATAGAATTGTTCAAAAAGTAAGAGATTTAGCCTTGGCTGGGCAACTCAGTTGGTTAGATCATCATCTAGATACGCCTAGTTACAGGTTCCATCCCAGGTCAGCCCGGTAAGGGCACATACAAGAATCAACCAATGAATGCATAAATAAGTGTAACAACAAATCAATGCTCTCTCTCAAAAAAATTTTTTTAAATAAATAAATAAAAATTCAAAAAACTTTCAAAAGAAAGATTTGAATCAGTTTCAAAACTAAGAGTAATGACTCAAAAGCCTGTGGCTTTTTGTAGTTCCCAGATTAAACCAGTACTTATAATTAAAGACCCGTTAAATCAAGTAGGTAGTCAAATGTACCAATGGGAAAATCTCATGGTGAATAAGCTGGCCTCTCACAGCTCTATTAGTGTCATTTGATTTTTAAAAGTTAGCTTTTTAAAATCCTTATCGCCACTCCCCACCTCCTCTAAAAATGAACTGTCTTTTGACCTTGGAAGTGGCTCTGAGTTGGTGAGAACTCCATGTATTCTCCCACTCAAGTCTTCATCCTCCCTCAGAGGCAGGAAGAGATCCTAAAATTCATCTTCGTCTATTTGTGGTATATTCACATACATTCGGTGATGGTTGTTTGGGGGGAACTGCACTACTGCTGGGAGCCTTGCCATCATTGTGATTTCTCATTTCCCACACTTGCCTCGATGCCTGTGAAGGAAGTGCACACTTTGTACACTTTTCTGCACATCTTTTTACGTGGTTCTTCTGAGTGGGTGGTTTGTGCCCTGCGGGGCTCCTGTCAGTGCTCACGTCTTACAGAGCACATGCTGCTTCCTCATCCCTCCGCCGCCTCAACCAAGTCACACAGGCACACCTTGGTGAGAATTCTAGCTGTGTGTGCTTGGGCAAGTAACTTCCCACAGCCTTAGTTTCCTTATTAGCAAAATGAGGGTTGCCGTACATAGTACACAGAGCTGTTGTGAGGGTTGCATTGAAATGTTATGTGTAAATTCTTAGTGCTTGGCACAGTGCCTAGCACCTAACAAGTCCTTAGTAAAAAGTGGTTTATTAATGTTAATATTGTAATCATGTTACCTTTCCCCTCCTTTTGCCAAAATTTTCTGCTCCTGAGTTTTCTGTGGCATTTTGCCATATTTAATATTGTTCCTGATGCTCTTACAGCTTATGTCTCCTTCTCCTCTCACCCCTAAAACATACACACACATCCCATAAGAGTCTGTCTCAGGCCTTCCTTCCTTATCTAAGCTCCCTTCTTTGGCTGCCTTGTCTCTTCCCAAGGCTTCAGCTCTCATCGCAGTGTAGATGACCCTCAAATTTGTATCTCTAGTCCCAACCTCTGCCTTAGTCTCCAAGCCACATATCCAGCCACCACCTACACATCTATCTCTGAAGACACCCACTGTAGTCACTCTGTGGAAGCATAGTGGCCCTTAACATGACAGTGAGCCCCCTGCCAAGTCCCCAGACAGGCCATGTAGCCTTTAACGGAAGCTCCTGCTGGTCACAGGCCAAGAGCAGGCATTACGAAGGACCTCGGAGCCTTTCTCCTGTTTGACAGCTAAGTTAGTTCTTTTTCTCATAGAGCAAGTGAGAAATACAGGGAAAGGGACTAATGATTATTTGCTCTGTTTTCGCACAGGATCGTTAAAGTTGCGGCATTTAACGTATCCGCCAATACCAGGATGAACAACAACAGTAATGATCAAAACATTACCCGCTGTCCCCGGACTAGCCGAGGAGTGGGGCTTTGAGACCCCTGTTGGGACACAGTGGTCTGCAGTCGACTCAGGAGAGTCTACTCAGCACAGCTGACTGCTTCCGTGCTGCTATCAGATGTCTTTTATCTTTCGTGAATGATTAGAACTTTGAAACCTCACCTCACTTCCCCTCCTCCTTTCCCCTGTGCACCTGTTTTTTCCTCATTTGGTTCCAGACAAAGATGACTTATAAATATATTTAATGTTTTGCCAGAATCTCTCTTGCTTTGCCGTTAAGCAGAAGAACTAGTTTCCCTATATACCTGCTGGGAGAGACCCACTTCTAGGGGAGAGGGGGATACAACTTCAAGCCAGACAGCACAGTGTCTCCCT